ATATCCTTCAAAATTAACTTATTTTATATTTAAGATATTTGGAATTAAATTTGAAATCAAATCAAAATGAAAGACGAAGAAAATAAAATCAATAGAAAAATAAAAGAGAAAAAACAATGAATGAAGGTAAAAAAAAAGTTTCGATACAAGGTAAAAAAATGTGTAGATAAAGAAAATAAAAAAATAAAAAAACATTTACACACGTGGCATGCGAGTGTGTACAAACACAACCAACTTGGGTGGTTGCAGATGCCACGTCAACACAAAAGGTGCACAAAAATACAACAAAAATGAGTTCAAGGGGGGGGGGGGGTAATAGGACCCTAGTTAAGTTTATGTGTGTCTCTGGGATTTCGGTCATAGTTTAGGGGGGTACTTGTGCCTTATCCCAGATAAAATTACACTTACTTCTTATTACAATTATGAAGTTGTATTTTTATATATTTTGAATTTTGTACCGTGCTCGACAAGATGAGGGAAGCGAGACTGAGATTGTTTGGACATGTGAAGTCAAGATGCATAGATGCACCAATGAGTAGGTGTGAGAGGTTGGTTATAGAGAGTAAGAGGAGAGACAAAGGTATGCCAAAGAAATATTGGAGAGAAGTAATAAGACAGGATATGACGCAACTTCATGTTACGGAAGACATGACCCTAGATAGAAGGGTGTGGAGGACTCTTATTAGATAGAAGGGTAGTAGATAGTTATATTATTATAGTTCTTGTTTTCTTATCATGATTTATTATTGTTTGTTAATAATAATCTACCTAGTATGTCGTTTATGACATTTCGATTACCACCTGATTTTAATGTTGTTTTGACTACTTCTGCACTAATCCTGTATTGATTTTCTCTTTATTAGCTTCTTCTTTATATCGGGATTTGTTGCACTTGAGCCGAGAGTCTTTTGGAAACAATCTCTCTATCTCCATGAGGTAATGGTAAGGTATATATGCGTACACTCTATCCTCTTCATACCTCATTTATGGGATTTCACTGAATATGTTATTGTTGTTGTAGTATATATAATTCATTTCTTGTTAAAAAAGGATGTTATTTTTCTCTTTGCTCTTCAAGCAGCATTACTACTCGCGCGATTTAGTTCGTGAAGTGATTTTTAAATTTATTTTGCCTAGTTTTTATTTTTTAAAGTACAGAGCAGGTAGTGGGAATCGAACCTAAATTATGTTAATATTATACCAATATTTAATACTTTATTTGATTTATCTATATAGTATATTGATATAAAATTAAACATGTACTTTTAAAATTTTAATTAAACAACATAAAAAATTAATTAAAGTCCTTAATAAATCATTAAAAATAATTTCTCTTATAAAATAATCTTAATAATAAACACACAATGTACTTGTCATTTTTCATAAGCACTTTTTAAAACAAATTATTAAACACAATTTGTTCATCAAAAATACTTCTCAACTAAATCAGTCAATACAAATATTTTTATTTTTTTTCAAAAATACTCTTCTAACAAGAAGTTTTTTCAATAAAAGTATTTTTCAAAATAAAGAGGTTTTAACCACTCGGTTATGATCAAATATAGTCCACAATATACATCATGTGTCTGCGGACATCTTGACAATGAAAGGAGGACTTCCATGCAATAAATTGGTAAATTATGCCCATCTCTTAAGGGGAAAAAAAAAACTCCAACATGGTATAAAGTGTTAAACTAGGGGGGCTGGGGGTGGGGGAGTTATGTCAATTCAAAGTAATCTGTGGGCATGAAACTCTCTCTCTCTCTCAATAGATTTATGAAAATACCGAGCATTACGAGATTATGATGGAGTGATAAATATTTCTTCATTCTTAGTTAGAGGTGTTGAATTCGAGTCGTCTTAAGGAGCACTTTACTCTCTAATATAAAACTTTCCAAAGCGAATCTAAATTTAACTCCAATATAAATACCGGACACAAAAAAAAAAACCAAAAAAAAAAATAATACTAAAAGTTTACCAAGACTTAAGACACCTCTCAGGAAAGATGTCTGAACCCGTGAAGGTTTCGGAATGTGACCAGATGCTTCCTTCCCATCTAACTATTCTGTGGAAAGTCAACTTTAGACTGCTCTCTACAAAGATTAGAAAATGTCTTCCATAGGCATATAAATATATATATATACACCTCTTCTCTACCCTAATTTATATGTTTTTCTATTTTTTCTTTTTAGTCCATTGGATAAAAGAATGACACATTTCTATATTTAATAATAATTTAGCTTTAAAATATCAATCTCATCCATAATGAAATAATTTATAGTCACACAAATATGTATATGACTTATTTTAGAGCACAAGTTTCAAAAGTCTTTTTCTTTTTTAAGCTAGTTGGGAAAGGTGTATATATAAAATTTATTTTTTAGCAAAGCACTAAACAGAGTGTTTGGTGTTTATTGTATATATATGCAGTTGCATGTCTAACAATGTGATTAACATATTGTCCAACTATGGTTGTTTTTGTCTCTTTATCTTCTCTCAAATACTTGCTTCTTATCATAATTATCCCTTTAGTCACTTCACTCTCCTTCAATTTTGATACTTTTACACCCAATGATCACAATGTAACCTATGAGAGAGATGCTTCTCCAGAAAATGGTGCAATTCTACTCACCAAAAACCTCCTCAATCGCGATATTAATGCTAGTATAGGCCGAGCTATATATTCAAAACCACTGCATCTATGGGACAAGGCCTCTCGAAATCTCACTGATTTCACTACACATTTCTCCTTTAGCATTAATTCACAGGGAATAACTAAATATGGTGATGGTTTTGCCTTCTTCCTTGCCCCTGCAGGTTCAACAATTCCTTATAATACAACAAGAGGTGGAAGTCTTGGCCTTACAAGTAATAATGAGCGACTAAATTCATCGAGCAATCATTTTGTTGCTGTGGAGTTTGACACCTATCAGAACCCCTATGACCCAAAGGGTGATCATGTAGGTGTCGATATTAACTCTATGCAATCTGTTGTTAATGTGACTTGGTTTAGTAGCATTCCAAATGGTACGAAAACTGATGCCTGGATTAGTTATAATTCTAACTCAAAAAATCTTACTGTTGTCTTCACTGGTTTTCAACTCCAAGGGAATAATATCACAGTCACTGTCCTGCAGAACCTATCTTACAATCTTGATCTGAGGGAATATTTGCCAGAATGGGTCACTTTTGGCTTCACTGGTGGAGCGGGAAGGAGATTTGCATTTCAAAGAATCTATTCTTGGAAATTTACTTCTTCTTTAGATAATATGACAGATACAGGGGTAACCTTATCAAACACCTTGCCAAAGGATGCACCAACAAAAACTAAGTTAGGACTTGTGGTTGGATTGATTTCTGGTGGTTGTGTTTTGGTTGCAGTATGTGCTTTGGTGTTATTTGCATTTTGGAGAAAGAGTAAGGTCAGAGAAGATGATTATGTCTTTGATGGTTCCATGACTAATGAATTTCAAAAAAGTGCAGGACCAAAGAAGTTCTTGTACAGTGAGTTGGCTAGATGTACAAATAACTTTTCACAGGAAGAGATGCTTGGGCGGGGTGGATTCGGAGGTGTTTATAAAGGATATCTCAGTGAATCCAACTCTTATATTGCTGTTAAGAGGGTTTCAAGGGAATCACAGCAAGGAATAAAAGAGTATGTATCAGAAGTCAGGATCGTCAGCCGGTTAAGACATAAACATTTGGTGCAACTCATTGGTTGGTGCCATCAAAAAAGAGAACTTCTACTTGTCTATGAGTTTATGCCTAATGGAAGCTTAGATCACCATATTTTTAGTGGAAAAAGCCATTTGGCATGGCCACTAAGATTCAAGATTGCTCAAGGCTTGGCCTCGGCGTTGCTATATCTACACGAAGAATGGGAACAATGTGTGGTGCATAGGGATATAAAGTCTAGCAATATTATGTTGGATTCTAATTTCAATGCCAAGCTTGGGGATTTTGGGTTAGCTAGGCTAGTTGACCATGATAAGGGATCCCAAACAACAGTTTTGGCAGGCACAATGGGTTACATGGCTCCTGAATGTGTCACCACTGGCAAAGCTAACAAGGAAACAGACGTCTATAGCTTTGGTATTGTCGTGTTAGAAATAGGTTGTGGAAGGAAACCTATTGATCCTAAAGCAGAGGAGCATCGAGTAAACATTGTCGATTGGGTTTGGAGACTTTATGGGATGAGAAGTATTCTTGAAGCAGTTGATCCGAAACTATCATCAGAGTTCAATGAAGAGGAGATGGAGCATTTGCTAGTTGTTGGCTTATGGTGTGCTCATCCAGATAATAATTGCAGGCCTTCTATTAGGCAAGCAGTTCAGGTGCTTAATTTTGAAGCTCCATTACCCACGCTCCCTCGGAGCATGCCTGTGCCCACATATTGCAGCTTCTCACGCCATTTATCAACTATTTCAGTTTCATCAACACATGAAACCAGCGGTACAGAGATCGCCCTTGCCCAAATCCAGCATTCAGTAAACGGAAACACCACTGATGCTTCAATAAAGAGAACATCTTCTTCAGCATCTTCATCTTCAACATCAGTTTTGTATCCAAGTTAATATTGCCCTGTTATAACCCTGCATTTTGTCTTCCATTAGCAGTGTCCATCTTTTCCTTTCTTACTTTTTGTTGTTTCTCTTCTAATGAAGAGGATTCTTTGGATTACATTTCCTGTAATTTTAACTGTTCTATTAAACACTGATAATGCTATGCTTTCAAGGACATGTCTCAAGAATTACTCAATTCCGAATTCTATCTGGATTAGAAGGCCAATTCATTAAAGCTTAGAGCACGTGATATTCTTTATCAAAATGTTGGTAGACATGATCAGTTGCTTTATTGCAGTCTGGACAGGACAAGAAGTTTGGTTTGTCTACTTGTCTCGTGCAACATTTATTTCCTTGCACAAAGTAGATTAAATGACACTACGTACATTCAGAAAGTGTAATTCTGTAACTATAATTAGAATCTGAAAACTAATCAGAGAAAAGAACTGCCTAAAAAAGCAGGCTAATATTAAGTTTAATATGTGGCTACCTTCTGATAAAGTTGTGCAGATGTTCAGAAAGATATCTACATGACCATATAGAGTATTTGTCTCTTCATATCTTTTGTACCTATGTTCTGAGGATGGGGTGAAAGTTTGGACCCAAAATAACCACCTTTCCCGAGTGCTTCCTCCCGTTAAGATGTGCAGCCATATCAATCTCACCAGAGCATCTAACGTTACAAAAACCACACCATAGCCTAGAATTGTGTGTAGCACCATCAGAATTCATCACTTGCTTCAGCTTTTCATGTGGTCCAGTAGCTACTAGTTCAACCTTTTCTTTAGGTTTTTCATTAGGACTGTGTTTTTCTTGTACTGGAAATGCTGTTTCCTTGACCTGCATGCCTGTAGTATTCTTTGCAATCCAAATAAGATTTCCCTTCAGGCGTTTAACCTGCAGTACCACAGGTACATTTTAATAGCTGACATACGGATTACTTTTGATTGCTTATATAAAACAAGTACTAGGATAGCATAAATGTGGTACTGATGTTTAAAACAAAAATAAAGAGCTTCAATTCTCTCCCTTTCTTAGTGGCTTCATATGTGCAGGAGAAACAAAGGCTTGAGATCATACTAAGATAAATGAATCTAGTGCAAACTTCAAAAAGCATTAATTTTACAAAGTGCAACAGTTTATATTTCAGGTTGCTTGGTGATTCTTTTAGCATAGACAGTTTCTTCTTGGTCTAAATGATAATGAACTTGGTACCAGCGTGCGTAATCCATTGCCATCTTGCTCATTCAGCTTATTTGATGAGCCTTATTTTTTTGCCTTTAAGCTTCATCTTGCACTCTTCCTCTAACTTGGCCACTAATAGCATCACTAGCACCTAATTGTTGGAACATCAAGCTCTCCTCTAGTCATGGATCACACCTAACAGCTTGGTTAACATTTTCATCTATGGTTTGCTTGACAAATTGCATCCACAGCAATACTTGTGAACACATAATATTCCATAAAAGTAACGATGGAAATTTTTTTGGGCTCAGCTGCTTCATGTTTTGCCATCTGTTCCATAGATTTGGTGTCTTCACAAACAGGACCACCCTCTTCGCGCACTATCTGTCTAGGGGCACTATGATTGTTATAGGGGATTTGTAAGGAATGTTAGCAAGTGAAGATGAAATGATTTTCATTAACCGCCCAAAAGGGATAAGAATGGGGTTTATTCTTAATTAAGGAAAATTCATAAATTTTAATGCTTTATATAAGACAAGTTATAGCTGCATTGTTTATGGGTTGGAAGGTACACTGCATCTACGCAGATGAAGCATTTCATAAGTTTGCTGGAAATTAGAAAATCTCACAAGTTAGTGCATCATGTAATAATTACATTATGCAAGACATTCAATTAGTACTCGAGTGATAATGTAGTTTTCAGATTTATTATGAAGTAAAAACGCCAAAACCAGCAGCATAAGAAGTTAACGACTATTTCATACATTATAGGGAGTCAGGAACAGCAGCAAGTGTGACTGGTTTCGGTTTCTCATCAAGAGGCTTAATAGAAAGGATACCTGGCTGGGGGTGAGCATTCCTGATTTATCACAAGTGTCAGTAGCCTGGATCCGTTCTGCCTTGGACTGCAAACAGGAGATAATGATAGGTACACTGACAATGAGTGTTGGGAAGAATCAATTCGATAAAAATTGGCTACTCATTGCTGAGGTAACATCTGATATACCTTGTTTGTAATAAGTTTCTCCTGAGCATCAGATCCATTCTCTTCAAGGTACCTCTCTGCCACAGCCATAGAACTCATAGGTAATTGGTGTTTGGCCAAGTGCTCCATCCCATTAAGATGTGCAGCCATAGCAATCTCCCCAGGGCACCACAGCTTAGAATTATGAACAGCAATAGCAGCATTCTTCAGTTGCTTTTGATTTTCTTGCTGATCAACACCTGCTAGGTGGACCGTTTCTTCCAATTTTTCATTAATGCTGTGCTCTGATTGTGCTGCGGCTACATGGTTTGCAGGTTCCTGATTAAGCTGGATTGTCTGCTTTGTTGGAACCTCCGTTTCCTTGACCTGCATTCCTATCGTTTTCTTCTCACTCCAAATTAGATTTTCCCTCACACTTCTAACATGCAGTTACACAGGGGACATTTTAGTCACTGGTATATGGATTAGTTTTGATTGATTATAGACGAATTAGGCAGAATAAATGTGTTACTGATGTTTACAAAAAAACATGAGCTTCAACTCTTTCTCCTTTTAGTGGCTTCAAATGCTCTCAGGAGAAATAAACACTTGAGAGCATACAAAGATAGATGAATCTAGTGTGAACTTCAAAAGCGATAAATTTTACCAAGTCTGCCAGCTTCAGTTTCAGGTTGTTCGGTGATTCTTTTTAGCATTATACAAAGTTTCTTCATGGTCTAAATGATAATGCACTTGATCTCAGTGTGTATTATCAATTGTCATCTTGCACATTTAGATTGATTGATGAGCCTAATTTTACCTTCATTTAGAGTTAATTCTTAATATTCATTTAGCACTCTTCCTCACTTGGCCACCAGTAGTATCAGTAGCAGCTTGATTAATGTTTCACCTTGTTGAAAATATAATCAAATAATAAAAGTGTTCTCTCTCTAAAAGCTTAAGCTTTTAGATGAGATGGTCACACACTTCAACATGATATCAGAGTAGGCAAATGTCCTAAGATTGAATCTCACCGCCACCCAAATCAAAAAAGAATTTCCACGTGTTTGGCCCATGAAAAAAGAATCAGGCCCACACGTGAGGGGGCGTGTTGAGAATAGAATCAAATAATAAAAGTGTGCTCTCTCTAAAAGCTTAAGCTTTTAGATGAGATGATCACACACTTTAACACACCTATTGTTTGATGAAAAATTGCATCTAGAGATATACTCGTGAACCCACAAATCATAATATTCCAAAAAAGTAACCAAGGAAATTCAAGGGTTGAAAATTACAACCTGTTTGGGTTGAGCTGCTTCATATTTTGCCAAGTGTTCCATCGGTTTGATATCTTGCCAAACAGGATAAGCCACTTCACACAGTGTCTGTTGTTGTTATTTTTGGATAATGTATCAGAAATTTCATTAGAAATCAGTACCAAGAAGCTAGTAAGTACAAAACAAGGAAAATTACAATTCTCCATTATGTTCCATCTATCCAAAAAATGCCATGCCATTTACCATATGACCCTTATACATGTCTGTTTTGGGGCACTATGGTTGTTATTTACCAGATTTGAAGGAATGAAAGGAAAATCTGTTTTATGACAAATCATTTTTACTACAAAATCTGTTGCCAACAATGGAAAATGCACTCTTTCATGCTTTATTTTAGTAAACTGATAGCTGCATAATCTTTACACAACCTATTATGTACATTCAATAATTTATTAGTTGGAAGGGACACTGCATGCATGTCTGCATCTATGCAAACAAAGCATTCCTTCGTTTTTTTTTTTAAAAAAAAAAAAGTTTCCAGGAAAAATCCTGGAAGTGTTGTATACCAATTATGAAACACAGACATAGGGGGGCCAGACCTGACCCCTGGAAACAAAGCATTCCTGAATTTGTTGGAAATAAGCTTCAAAAAATAGTGCATGATAGCATAAACATGCACTACATTCAATCCAAACTAAAACTGCGGGCTGATGCCACCTTCTTTTTCATTATTGAGTGAAAATGCATATAAAGCAGCACCACAAGAAGTTAAAAATTGTTTCATACAGTACAGGGAGCTCGGAACAACAGTTGAAGCACCTGGTTGGGGATAAGTGTTCCTGCTTCCACACTAGTATCAGTAGTCTTGATCTCTTCTGCATGATGATTCAAATTATTATCCTTGCACTGAAAATAGGACATCATGATAAGTACACTGATAGTAAAGCCCAAAGTTGCAATAAAATCCAGTGGAATGTATACATTTGCTTATGTAGTGTTGGGAATCTAACTTTTGGCGACTGAAATGGATTAACAATCTTTATTCTCATATAACTAGCTGATGTACATACAAGTGTGTGTCCAGTTTAGTAATGTACTGGCTACTCAATGCTGAAGTAACATCTAACATACCTTGTTTGCAATAAGTTTCAACAAAGCATCAGATCCATTTTCATCAAGATACCTCTCTGCTGTATCCAGAAATGATTCGCTCTTGAGAGATGGATCCTCCATTGGCTTGTTCAACCAGTCAGCCACAATTTGAAGGTTGACAGACAAACATACATGCAGAAAGCGTTGGTAAACATAACAAAACCCATAAAACTGAGTGATAGCATCATGCAGTTTCACCAGCAAACATGGATGAATAAGTTTTTGATAAAGATAGCACCCGCCATCAAACTGCGGTATCACCAACCAACATATGGTTATTAATTTAATATATGGCCACAGAGGAACCCTGCCAAAGTAAATGGAAGAACATTAGAATATTATTCAACGGGAGTTGTTTTCTCATGTTCAACCACGTATATTGTACAATTTTCCCCAAATGTTTCAACAAACTCTTGAAATCCTCAACTTGGAATTTAAGAAACAGAAGCAAGAACAGACATAAAATTTGAAATAAGTGGATCATAAGCAGTGACGAATCCAGTTTTCATTAAGGGGGTTTGAAAAAAAAAAGAGTAGTGTGAGTTTTGAACCCCTCAACCACTAAGTCAACCTCTAATCTTACATTCAGGAGGTTCAAAATCAATATATAGACATAAAAATTCTTAAAAATACCTTAAATATACAATATAATTTTTTGGTGAAGGGGGGTTCAACATCTAGGTCCGCCCCTGGCTCATAAGAACCAATGGGGCTGCTTAATCCATGCATTCCCCTGAATGGGGCCCTATGTGCGTGAATCGGGAATAGTCGGGCTCAGGAAACCCAAGAAAAAGTATGTGAACTAATGAAAAGTAGATGGAGCACATTAGGGTACCATTGAATAAGTTTGTCAAATATGTGGTGGAAGAGAGAAAAGATAATCCAGTATGTGAGTAGCTTTCTCATGTGATACTTGGAGTCGGTCTGAATCGCTTTGATTGAAGCATATCTGAAAGAATTGGTGAACATTAAAAGCTGAAGCAAAAATACAGTAAAATAGTTGAAATTAAAGGTAAGTGAAGACTTACAGAGGATAGGCCAGAGCAAGTAGGGGCCTGCAAAATATATATATATAGCAACTTACTTGAATCATGCAAATATGTACTAAAAAGTTAAAATCTTGTTCGTTTTGCTACTCTACTTGACAAGATTCAATTTTTACCATTAATGGAGAAAGAGAAGTGAACTTACCAAGCCAGGAACTCCATTATGTGAAGAGTAAATATAAGAAAACCCATGATCACACCCAAACTAGTAAACCCTTTCTTTTCCCAGTGAGTATTGTAATAACACAAATCCCGTTAAATAAGCTTTTTATGCCCTAACAGGGCCTACGTCTTTTACGCCACTCGCTTAATTTGTTCTTTTTCTTTTTCAAGGAAAAACATCCTACTAATTAGAGCCGTCAATATGGGCTAGGCCCGTTGGATCGGCCTGGCCTAACCCGGGATTTAATAGGGTCGGGCTAAGATTTTTGGAGCCCATTTAAGAAAAGGGCTTTTTAGCCCGGCCTGAATAAGCCTGTTGATTTGTGAGGCTTGAGAAATATAGATAGGGCCGGCCCGTGGGCCAAATAAAAATAATTAAAAAATATAATATAATATTAAAATTTAAAATTAAAGAGAGTCCAAACTCAAAATCTATTTAATATTTAACTAATTAAAACCGCATATAAATTGAAGATGAAAATGAAGATGTTAAGACAACCTTGCCATAAGTTGATTCAGATATGCTTGATGAAGATGATCATGAAGTGTTGGATACGCCATAGATTTCATGATGTGTTAGATAC